GTCAGTCCGTATGAACACCTGAATCTCAGAGACTAGAAGAGCTAGAGATACCAAATTTTGCACAAAGATGCGTTATGTGTGTACGCTGCACGAGTTTGTTTTATTTTTTTGATTTTCCCCCCCCACTTCCGCCCTATGGGGGTTTTTCCATAACGCCGTTCGTATAGTCGCCTATATCTCAGAGACTATAAGACCTACGGACACCAAATTTTAGTCCCAGATGCCTTATGTGAATACGCAGAAAATGTGTATTTTGGAATTTCCCTCCCACCACCCTCTCCCCCGCAAATCGCGATTTTCTCTAACTCCCGTAATTCTTGGAATTTCGAACTACAATTTTGGAAATACCCCCAGTTGGTTATTATATGTCCGTATACCAAGTTTCACTATGATAGACCGATTTACCAAGAAGTTATAGCCATAAATATATTTGCTGCTGCAGCGCTGCTCAAGCGCTGCTCGCTGCTGTTGTTACACAGAAACGAATTGATGCGCATAGGCATACATATACTCACACAGACGCAATTGCTATGTAAATGTGCAATTATACACCCTTTACGTGAGTTCGAATACCGAGAGAGGTAAAATCGATCCAATTTTTTTTTTATTTTTTTTTTTTATTTTATATAATTATTGTAAACATATGTACAGAGTATTTCAAAGTCGGGACATCCGACTTTAGCTTTTTTACTTGTTATTTTTAGTCTCTTCAAATGCTTGGCACTCTGAATAATCCGTTTTACCGTTGCCAAACTTGCGGTTACACCGCATTCTTCCCTGATTTTAGCCGCAGAACGTTGGGAATTAGAGGCGGTTCTAAGGATTAGTCTCCTGTCAGTTGGAGTTGTCGCATGCGGACCCCCTCCTTTCATATTTTTCCCGTAAAATTCTTCATTGCGCACAAAATTACCAACAACATTTTGACTTCTGCCGATTATCAGTGCAATTGCGCGCTGATTTAGGCCGGAATTGAGATAACCTTTTATTTGACCTTTTTTAAAGTCATTCAATTGTTTTCCGCGACCCATTCCACCAAAAAAAGAACGGTAAATACTTCCAATTCCAATTTGAAAAGAAGTTGGCCCCATTTACTTCACGCTGTCGATCACAAAGTAACACTGAAGTTGTGAACCTATTCTGATGAGCCAAAAAAATGCAGCGTTTTTAGCGAATGTAAAACGAACTCAACTACCGTTAGAAAAATCCCGTTACTGTTTTGTGCTATGTTAAATGTTAACAAATCAAGGTCACAACACAAAACAAGAGAGAACGCTACAGTCGAGCAAGCCCGACAGTGTAATACCCTGTACCCAGGTAAACTTCCGTCACTGAGTTATATGCGCCCATAGCAGCAGCAAAAAGAGGAAGAAGAAGAGCGAACTTGTTGCTGCAGTTTGTGGAGGTTGTACTGGCGAGAATTTGTTTCACTAATAACTTTTCTTAGAATTGACAGAATTGAATAAAATTTTGAACAACAGTAGAAAAGTATATATATATTATGTGTGCAAAGTTTGGTTTAGGTAGCATTTGAAATGTGGACGCTATTGACGAAATTCTGTAGCGGGGGAAGGGGGTGAAAATTCAAAAAAAACTCGTCCTTTCTCGGACCTAGGAGAATCTGAATGCCAACTTTGGTTATTCTAGCTTTTATAGTTTCTGAGATCCTCGCGTTCGTCCAGACGGATAGACGGACGGACGGACATGTCTAGATCGATTTCTCTCGTCATGCTGATTCAGAATATATATACTTAATGGGGTCGGAGATGCTTCCTTCTGCATGTTACATACTTTGCACAAACCTAATATACCCTTTTTACCCTACGGGTACAGGGTATAATTAAAACAAGAGAGAACGCTACAGTCGAGCAAGCCCGACAGTAAAATAGCCTGTACTCTCCACAAAAAAAGAAAATTAAAAAACAAAAAAAAATTAAATTATTAAAAAAAAATGAATTAAGTAATTAAAGTAAATTAGAATGTATGTTTTTGTTCGGTTTAACAGCATACATTTACATCACTTGCCTATTCGTGTTTATATGCGTGTATGTATGCAGCACAAAGTTGAACCAAAGCAGCAAAGCCGGCAGAGCTGCAGGCAGCGATTTTATTTATGGCTATAACTTTTTTCACAATTGACCTATCATGATGAAACTTGGCACACGAACACATTAATACTAACTGGATGTACCTACCAAAATTAATTTCAAAATTCCCAGAATTACGGAATTTATAAACAAAAACACGAATTGCGGTGGAGTGGGAGGGGGGGGGGGGGGGTGGTGGTTTCAGAATAAAAAAATAAACTTGACCTGCCTAGGACTTAAGGGAACCTCGATACCAAGTTTGGTTATTCTAGCTCTTGTACTTCCTGAGATCCTTGCGCTCATACAGACAGACGGGCGGACGAACAGGCGTGGGAAAAAAATCGGTAATTTTTGACTGCTTCGTGGCTCTTGAAGCTTCATAGTAGCATTCCTTATATGGTTTATTTTCTTTTGACGCCATTGTAGGAACTGCAATTTGTATAATTCACTTTTAACCATTTAATTTCATTCAATGATTAAAACATTTCACTTATCACAAAAGTTTTAGTCTTACTATGTATGTATGTGCGCATCTGAAGAAGTAAAGCTTTTGTATGTACATACAAATGTACGTATGTATATGTTTGCGTAGGCATTAGCTGTAGCTGTTGATGTCGAAGCCCATAAATTGTGAACTGTGCAAAAAGTGCTGCTGCGTCTAAAAATATACATATATGTACATACATCATTTTACAATTAATACGCAAGGGTATTTATATACATAAACGCACATGCACATTTGGAGAAAGAATACATCTACAACCAAAAAGCCGAATTACAAGCGTGATCGTACTGTTTTGAAATGAAAGGGGGAATCCCTGCAATAACAAGTGTAGAAGCTTAAGTCGGGTGTCCCGACTTCGAAGAACTCTGTAAATATGTTTAGAATAATTACATAAATTAAAAAAATTAGGAAAATTAAAACAAAAAAATGTTCGATTCTACCTCTCGTATTCGAACTCACGTAAAGGGTGTATAATTGCACATTTACATAGCAATTGCGTCCATGTGAGTGTATGCATGTCTATGCTTGTCTATTCGTGTCTATAAGAGCTAGAGACACCAAATTTTGCACATAGATGCCGTATGTGTGTACGCTATACGAATTTCTTTTATTATACCCTGCATCCAAAGGGTGAGAGGGTATACTAAGTAGTTTTGTGCGAAGGTATGTATGTAACAGAGAGAAGAAGGCGTGGCAGACCCCACAAAGTACATATATTATTGATCAGGATGACAAACCGAGTCGATATAGCCATGTCCGCCTGCCCGTCCACACGTCTGTATGTATGAACGCAAGGGTTTCAGAAAGTATAAGACCAAGAATAACCAAACTTGGTATCCAGATCCTCCTAAGTCCGAGAAAGCACGAGTTAAAGTTTTTTTTGCGATGCACCCCCACTCCCCTCCAAATCGTGTTTTTTTTTTCATAACTCCCGTAATTCTTGGAATTATAAAATTTGATTACTACATCCAGTTAGTGATTACGTGTCCATATGCTAAGTTTCATCAGGATTGGTAAATTCTGAAGAATTTTTCGTTCGAATATTTATCTATATCTCGGACTTTCCGAATTCCATTCCTCCGCCTCTCCACCGCAATAAGTGATTTTCCATGGTTCAAATATGTACTAGAGCTGGGAAAATATCGATATCAACATATATTGATGTTTGGGCAATATCGAAAACATCGATGTTTTAGTTGACAACATCGATAATCGGATATTTTGTATAGCCTGTACCCAAAGGGTAAAAGGCTATACTAGTTTTGTGCGATTGTATGTAACACACAGAAGAAGGCGTGACAGACCCCACAAAGTATATATATATTTTTGATCAGGATGACAAGCCGAGGCGATATAGCCATGTCCGTCCGTCCGTCTATATGAGCGCAAGGATCTCAGAAGGTACAAGAGCTAGAATAATCACAACTCGGTATCCAGATTCCCATAAGCCCTAGGCAGGTCAAGTTTATTTTTTTATTCTGATACACCCCCCCCCCCACTCCCCAGCAATTCGTGGTTTTTTTTTTCATAACTCCCGTAGTTCTTGGAATTTCGAACTAATAATAACTAACTAGGTAGCTACATCCCGTTAGTGCTTATTTGTCCGTGTGCCAAGTTTCATCATGATAGGTCAATTCTGAAGAAAGTTATAGCCATAAGTAAAATCGCTGCTCATGCGCTGCCCATGCTCTGCTTGTACCGCTGCCGGCAGCGCTGCCGATGTAACTATAAGACCTAGGTCAATTTCGTGACTACGCAGAAATGTGTACTTTTTCCACATTTATTTATTTCCATATTTATTTATTTTATTTAATTAATTCCTATGTAAATGTGCAATTATACACCCTTTACGTGAGTTCGAATACCAAGGGAGGTAAAATCGATCGAACGAATTTTTAAACGTTTTTTAATTTCTATAAATATTGTACACATTGTATGTACAGAGTATTTCAATGTCAGGACACCCGAGTTTAGCTTCTCTACTTGTTAAAAATGTTTTTTTTTCGGAAATGGGTACTGGGTATTTAAGAGTTGGGCCCGCTCGACTCTAGCATTTCTTTCTTTCGATTTTTTTTTATTTATAATTTTTTTTTTTTATTTGGTCCAACGTGCATAAGTGGATACATTGACTTTATCCAATTAAGTTAATTTTTTGTTATTAAAATTATGTTTTTAAAAAGCAGTTACCATTTTTTTTTATTAAAGTAATTATAATAAATAAAACAAAAAAATAATTACAAGGATTGATGCATTTTTATAGAAGTCATAGGCATAATAGACGAAAAGTGATAAACATGTATCCACAAGTGCTCGCCACTGTACATAAATTATTTCATTTGAATTTTTAATCTGAAATTTCTCAAAAAATTATTTTTACTACATAATTGATCCCTTATTTTATTTTGTTTCAGCACACTATGTAAAACAGCGACATCAACGGAGCCAATTAGATTCAGTGCAAGTTCGCTGCCAACATTAAACAACAATCAGGCAGCAAACAGCTGCAGTTGTCCATTAGATGGCAGAATTGCCGATACGCAGCAAATCAAAAAACAAAAAACTGCTTCTAAACAAAGCTCCGTGCCACCAGTTTTGCGACCGCTACATAACATCAACGACTTGCGGCAGTATCGACATCAGCGAGGAAATTATTTATGAAATTTACAAAATTGCTCATTCAATATAACAGCAATAATAATAACCACATAGTACGTTTAATTGCATTTCTTGCTGAAAGCTAGCGAGCAATATTTAAACAAGAAACAATCAGTACGCATTTTTATTGTACCGTGCACCATTTTCTGCCGTTGTCATTTCCGGAAATGTGCGGAATAAATGTTTTTACGCAAAATGTGCAAAATACTTCGCATTAAAAAAAACAATATTAATCTAACAAAAGCATCAACAATAACTTAAAACTGCTCTGGTGGCAAATCGTTGCAGCAAAAATTTGTATCCTTTCACCCGGAGTGAAGGGTGTGTGTGAGTTTGTGGTTGCTACACCACCAACTTAACACACACGTACGCACACTTGATAGAGATCTTGTGGTGTGTGTGTGTGAGCGCTAATAACTTTCTATCGTATAAAAGAAGTACGGATAGGTATAGTAAATGTAAATTAACAATATAAATTTAAAAAATAAATAATTTACATTTAATATCAAAACAACGCACCAAAATTCAATCTGTCTCCTGGCAATTTCACGTACATAACGCAATGCAAGTTTTACAAAAGACTTTTAACGTGTGTTCATATTTTAAAAAAAATAGTAAAACGAAGAATACTAAAAAACTGAACACTAGAATCAGTAAACAAGAAATTCAACGTATACATACAATTACCGCAAGAATAGGTAAACAAAGTTATTAGGAACCATTAATACATATTAAATTGATATATACGTGTGTATATAAATAATACAAACATATGTATATATTACATATACATACATCGGTATAAAAAACGAACAAGTTTTGTTAAGCCCAGTTAAAATAAAACAAAACATAAAGCAACGATAAGCAAAACCGTGCAATAGCAGTAACAACAATAATAAAGGAAACGGAGCAATAATCCTACTCATAAACAATAATATTAATTAATAACTATTTGAAATCAACCAACGTCAAACTGCATTGTTTTTTTTTACAACGTACCCAGATTTTATGATCAAATAACGCAATATCTATAAATTTAACAATATAAAGAATTACATATTACCAAAAGCCAGCCACATGTATAGATTAGAGGATACAAACAGTGGCGGCGTTATGGATAAGAACAAACAGAAATGTAAGTATAAGTTATAAAATGGTATACTGTTTAGTGCGAATTTATGTTACACACCGAAAGAGCCGTTCCAAACCTCCAAAATCAATTACATGTACATTTTTGTTCAGTAGGCAAGACGAGTCCGACCGTTTGTAAGATCGCAAGGAGGAAAGTACCTCAGCTTTGAATTTTGTATCCAGACTCTCTTTGCTTATGTGTCTAATGTTAAGATTCATTCGGCGCATTCACCATGGAAAATTTATAACTGATAAATTGTTTATCCGTCCGTCTGTCCGTATGAACACCTGGATCTCAGAGACTATAAGAGGAACAGACACCAAATTTTGCACAAAGATGCCTTATGTGTGTACGCTATGCAAGTTTGTTTTATTTTTTTGATTATAACCGATATAACCTAGGGACACCAAATTTTAGTCCAAGATGTCTTATGTGAATACACAGAAATTGTTTATTTTGGAATTTTCCTCTGTCCCCCTCTCCACCGCAATTAGTGATCTTTCAAATTTAACAAATTTCATTACGATAGACCGATTTAACAGGAAGTTATAGCCAAGCGCTGCCCGCAGCTGTTCTTGATGCTGGTGTTTTGGTTGACTGCAAACATGTTCACACTGACACGAATAGACGCGCATAGACATTCATACACTCACATAGACGCAATTGTTATGTAAATGTGCAATTACACACCCTTTACGTAAGTTCGAATACCGAGAGAGGTAAAATGGATCAAATTTTTATACCCTGTACCCGTAGGCTAAAAAAAGAGTATATTAGGTTTGTGCAAAGTATGTAACATGCAGAAGGAAGCATCTCCGACCCCATAAAATATATATATTCTGAATCAGCATAACGAGAGAAATCGATCTAGGCATGTCCGTTCGTCTGTCCGTCCGTCTGTCTGGATGAACGCAAGGATCTCAGAAACTATAAAAGCTGGAATAACTGAAGTTGGTATCCAGATTCTCCAAGGTCAGAGAAAGGACGAGTTTATTTTATTTTTTTTTAATTTCTGTAATTATTGTAAACATAGTTACAGAGTATTTCATAGTCGGGACACCCGACTTTAGCTTTTTCACTTGTTTTTATAGCCTGTACCCAAAGGGTGAAAGGCTATACTAGTTTTGTGCGCATGTATGTAACACACAGAAGGAGGCGTGGCAGACCCCACAAAGTATATATATTCTTGATCAGGATGAGAAGCCGAGTCGATATAGCCTTGTCCGTCCGTCCGTCTGTCCGTCTGTCTGTCCGTATGAACGCAAGGATCTCAGAAAGTATAAGAGCTAGAATAACCAAACTTGGTTTCCATATTTTCCTAAGACCGAGAAAGTACGAGTTTGAGTTTTTTTTCGATGCACCCCCCCATTCCCCCGCAATTCCTGTTTTTTCTTATAACTTCCGTAATTCTCGGAATTTTGAAATCAATTTTGGTAGGTACATCCAGTTAGTACTAATGTGTCCGTATGCCAAATTTCATCATGATAGGTCAATTCTGAAGAAAGTTATAGCCATAAGTAAAATCGCTGCTCATGCGCTGCCTCTGTCGGCAGCGCTGCCCGCAGCTGTTGTTGTTGCTGCTTTGGTTCAACTTTGTGCTGCATACATACACGCATATAAACACGCATAGGTACGTGATGTAAATGTATGCTGTTAAAACTGAACATAAACATGTATTCTAATTTAATTTAATTAATTAATTCATTAATTTTTTTTAATAATTTAATTTTTTTTTAATTTTTTTTTTTTTTAATTTTTCTTTTTTGTGGAGAGTACAGGCTATTTTACTGTCGGGCTTGCTCGACTGTAGCGTTCTATCTTGTTTTTATATTTGGACTTTCACCTTTCTTCCCCCTCTCCCTCGCAATTAGTAATTTTCCATAATTCCCGTGTTTCTTGGAATTTTTGAAATCTTGAATTCGGAAAATACCCCCAGTTAGTGATTATGAGTCTGTATGCTAAGTTTCATCATGATAGGCCGATTTAACAGGAAGTTATAGCCATATATGTATGTTTGACCAAGCAGTGCCTGCAGCTGTTGTTGTTGTTACTGCTTTGCCCAGGCACACGAGGCATACACAGACACACCCATATACGCATAATTATTCTACACATATGTACAGAGCATTTCAAAGTCGGGACACCCGACTTGTTACTATTATTTTTTTATAGGTAATAATTCGTATTCAGCCGACCTGCTATAAAGCATATTGGAAACTTTCCAAAGGAGCTAAAAGCCACCCATATCATGAGTGAGCCTCCACCATGGTTGCATGTTTCAAATCTGTCGGGGATCGCTTGGGTCGCGCCAATACTATCTTGGCCATTAAAAATTTTTAATTACTGAAGTTGACCATTTTAAATTCCCTGTCCCAAAAATTGTATTTTTCGTAAAATGCAAGGCGGACCATTTTATATCGGTGCAATAGGTTTGGTTTATGCACCTTGGAGTCATATTTGAGACCCATTTCCTTTCTGCAAATTTGTTGCAACAGAAGCCCAGTTAATTCTTTAATTCTGCCCTGACTTGGGTGCAGCTCATTCATTTGGTGGTTACCAAAGCTCGAATATGCGTTTTAGTTCGGTCACCAACTATAGGACCCCCACTCCTTTCCGGTGGTTTTGAGCTTATTGTTTCGGAAATCTTAAAAAGTTTGAGACGGTATTCCGATGTTTGATTAGTGCTTTAACAATAACACCGACTTTAATGTTACAACCATATGTAGTTATGATTTTTATTTCATTTTCTGTGTTTAACTCGTTTCCGCGGGACATTTTAGGATATTATTAAATTTAAGTTCACCAAAACACAACGATACGGCTTTTAATAAATAAATCTGCTTGACAATTCGATTTTTTTTTCTGGAGATAATATATGTGTTTCACACTTAAAATGTAAATGGATAAATTGCACAAATATCAATTTTCTATGAAACTCGTGACTTAGTATTCTTCTTAATTGTAACTAGAGATTAAGAGCTGATAAAAAACAAGTAGAGAAGCTAAAGTCGGGTATCCCGACTTTGAAATACTCTGTACATATGTGTAGAATAATTATGCGTGTATGTGTATAATTGTGCGTGGCTGTGTATGTCTCGTGTGCCTGAGCACAGCAGTAACAACAACAACAGCTGCGGGCACTACTTGGTCTTATGTACATATATGGCTATAATTTCCTGTTAAATCGGCCTATCATGATGAAACTTGGCATTTGGACTTGTAATAACTAAATTTGCTAAGTTTGAGTTCGAAAATTTGCGCGAGCTGAAAAATGTAACAGGGAGAAGAAGGTGTGGCAGACTCCACAAAGTATATATATTCTTGATCAGCATGACAAGACGAGTCGATCTAGTCCTGTCTGTCTGTCCTGGATCTCAGAGACTATAAAAGCCAGGCAATAATAATTAAAGCTAAGGCAAATTGTGAAACTCTTCAATGTAATTGTAATATTAAATGTCAATTTAAACTAAATTAAACCTGTAATTAAATTATCAATTAACTGAATGAAATCGAAATGAATATGTAATGACTAGCGTAATAACTAGAAAGTAATCTCGTACTTGTAACGCTAGGATAAGTTAATAAATAAATAAATAAATCAAATTTTAGTCCCAGATGCCTTTATTTTCACTTCCCCCTCTCCACCGCAATTAGTGATCTTTAAAATTTAGCAAATACCCCCAGTTAGTGATTATGTGTTCGAATGCCAAGTTTCATTATGATAGACCTATTTAACAGGAAGTTATAGCCATAAATATAATTGCTGGTGCTGGTGTTTTGGTTGATTGCAAACATGTTCACACAGACACGAATAGACGCGCATAGACATTCATACACTCACATAGACGCATTGCTATGTAAATGTGCAATTATACACCCTTTACGTGAGTTTGAACACCGTGAGAGGTAAAAACGATTTTTTTTAATTTCCTTAATTTTTTAAATTTCTATAATTATTTTAAACATATGTACAGAGTATTTCGGAGTCGGGACACCCGACTTTAGCTTCCCTACTTGTTTTAACAACGAGTTGGCATTGCTAAAATCCATGAATAATGCTTTGAACTGCTTCAAAACGCACCTTACTCTCCAGACCTAGCCTAAAATACGTCTATTTAATCCTTATACTCAGAGTTGCGCTTCAATAAAAATTTTTATCAAATGAAGATGCTGTTACCAAAGTAAACACGCATTATGAGGAGCATAACGGCGAATACTTTATTAAGAAGTTGAAAATGTGGGAGCCTCGCTGATATTTTTATATAATAAATATATATAATTAAAACAATATATTTTGAAATTGTATTATTGTCAAGGTATAAACAATTCGGAGTGTGTGTCTTTTACGAGCTCTTATTCAACTGCAACAGATTCAAGCACTACAAATGCACTCATTGTTGAGAAGCTGCATTATAAATAAAACTGCTATGATTGGGGACCGTCGTCGTCCCAGCTAAATACCTGCCACAGTTTGTGTTCTATTTTAACGCAACGCAGATCGCGCGAGTAGTTGGCGCGATTAGTTAATGTATTTACGAGTGTGTGACGCACATATGTAAAGTACATATTAATATGAAATATTTAAAATGATTTAGCCAGTGAAGAACAACAAAAAAAGAAGAAGGAAGTTAAACTAAAATTGACAGTTCTTCATGAACATTAGTTTTTCTGCATCTCAAATATGTTATGCGCTTATGTATGTACATGTATGTATATAAATTAGTCTGCTAATGTTTGACCGAAGTTATTGATATTTTAAGAAATAATAAAATACAGTGACTCATTTTTTTATACAGTGACACAGTGCATACTTTTTTTTTATCAAAACATTATATATTTGTAAAACCGATAGGTAGAGTTTAGAAACGGAAATGCAGTTTAACAATAATGAAACGCAAGTCAATCCTCAATTTGATGGCCTGTGGCATATGTGTATGTACTATGGCAAATGAAGATTTAAAAGTCAAAAACTAGCTTCGTCTGTGGCTTCTTGTTCCAAGTCAATAAAAGCATCTCACAAAGGAAGAAACTATGTACATGTTGCATATTAATATGTAACGTACATATAGTACTTTTTTTGGCAGCCACGAATTTAGTTTATTGGTAACTAAATAAACGGCAACAACAATGGCATTAATACTCAAGTCAAGACGACTTCTTCAGCTGAGACAGCCGACAGTTAGTAATTAAAAGTCCGTACGCCAAATTTCATTATGATCATTATATAACAGGGCGAAGGAGGCGTGGAAGACCCCACAAAGTATATATATTATTGATCAGTATGAGACGACGAGTAGATATAACCATGTCCGTCTGTCCGTCCATCTGTATGATCGCAAGGATCTCAGAAAGTACAAAACCTAGAATTACCAAACATGGTATCCAGGTTTCCCTAAGCCCTAGGCAGATTAAGTTTGTTTATTTTGTTTTGATATCTTTTACTTAATTGATTAAATTAAAAATAAAGTATTTGTGCTTGCTGTACTTTTTATGTGTTTTCAATCACTTGACAATTTAATTTATCTTTTTACACCCAACCACTTTTGCTTCTTCCGTGTTCGTTACAGTATCCGCTGCGTATGGGTCCAGTGCAGGCGCCGTTGCCGTTGATTCATCGCAGGCTAGTGGAGGTGGCCGACAACGCCATGCTCCACTTTATGGACGCTTTGTGGTGGAGGAGGATCTGCCTGCTACGCATCGTGATGTCATGCACCATGTGAGTTCATCGAAAATTACAACAATTATTGTCTTCTTGATTATTTCTTCTGTCTTATTATACCTCGCAGCACTCTAGTCCCTCGTCTTCATCGGAGGTACGTGCCATGCAGGCGCGTATTCCCACACACTTTCGGGATCCCGGCACCGCACCCTTGCGAAAGCTCAGTGTCGACCTGATAAAGACCTACAAGCACATTAATGAAGTAAGTTGCAACAACTAGTAAAATACCTTGGTTGGCAACAACATTTTGGCAGCTTCTCGTTTTTATTTATATGATAAATCGTTCTGACCGCCCCAGCCACAGCTACCTACTCAACCATTGTCGTTTTATTGTCACTTGACACATGGCTGCCAATCATATAAGCAAATACCTAAATAGATGGCCAAACGCAGGAAAGAAGAAACGAAATAAAGCGCGCGTTGTGTTTTACGCGCCAACCGTTGACAATAATGTCGACCGTCCTTGACCTCGTTTTCTGTTCGGTTACAGTTACCCTTGTCTCGTCCCCTGAATTTGAGTTTGACGTCCACAAAATGCTGCATGTGCCAGTGACACGCAATTTGAATCCTGTTTAAGTAATCTAAAAATACGAGTATTTCTCTCGCCTTCTTGTATTTTTGATTTGATATCTAAATCAACGAATACAAATGTTTTAACACCCACAACTAAGAACTTCATATTATTGGTCGAATTGTTTTTAATTATTAAAGTTGTACTAAAATTTGGAATGCACGGTTACATCATGGCAATTTGAGAGTGGCCTTATAGAAGCAGTTGGGTGAACTTTTCATTTTGAATATATGCAGCAGCGTCAATATATTAATGAGTAAGGGTTTGATTTTAGTGTCTTGCGTTACAGCTAAAACCCTTAACAAAAGGTTAAATAGAATATGAACGAAATAAAGAACCATCAAATTAATTTTGAAGAATGAACTTGTCGACTTAGTTGGAATCCTGCCAATATATCCAACCAAACCAACTTAGAGTCGACTTTGGATATTCGTCGAATAGGGCTCGAAACGCGTTACGAATGCGTCTTTTCGGCATACCCATTCGGTGCATCCACAGCGCCATAGCTAAAAATATGATTCCCAGAACTGTAATTAGAAAAGTGCGTGGTTTCATTAGTTCCTTTGCTATCCACAGAACATAGGCGTGCATTAAATATATATTGCAGTTGGCTTGAGTCTTTAATATCCCATGCGACAACAGCGGGTGCCCCTGAACTCTATTAATGTTGCTGAAATTTTTGTCTGTATTCGAAAATTCAACATGCCTTGCGACTTGAATCAATTTGCGTAAGTTGGCCTCTTGGGCTGCAGTGAATATCTCCATTCGCTCGTTGAGAGCACTTTCAACTACTGCGCTGATTCGATGTTCCAGCCCCCGTATGGAGATATAACTTTTTGAGCGACGGTGACGACTATCTAGCTGGGGCAGCCCTGTGTGTCGGCTGGAGGGTGTGCAGCTTATACTTCGTTGTTTTTTGGCAGGGGTCTTTAACTGTGGAATTTCTTCCAGAGGTGATTTTTTTAACCGGACCATTTCTTGTTGCTTTTTGGCTGCGTTATCGTTTGTTTTACTACTTTTTCCTCTCCCTTTGCGCGGCTTTACACTAACAACTTTTTGTGAAACTGATTCATTATTTCTTTTTTGTTGATTGATGCGTAAATCCAACTCGCATTCCTCTTTGTCTCCTTGCTGTTGTTGCATGTAGTTATTAAAGTCAAACACATCAGGACGGGATCCTCGTACGTAGAACAGGCGACCGCGGTTTCCGCATAAACTACTAGCGTCCTCGTTAGCTTCATCTGTGTCGACAAAAATACGAAGCTCAATGATTATATGTTTATGCTACATATATATTGGAAATTTCTTACTTCGCTGTTGTTCCATCGCTTTCAATGACTTGATTCGGTGCTGACTTTTGCCGTTTTGCTTATCTCTTTGCTTAGCTGACAGATTATTTTGTGTTTCCTGGACACGTTCTTCTTATATCGTTCAGCTCGCAGATAATTCTCGATAATTTCTTAAAACTTCCTTCGCACTCTTTAGTTAGCCACCATAACACAATGCAATGGTTCAATGAGTAGAAGCTATAAAGAAGAGCACTCTATGAATTATTTCCGACAAAGCATTGACTATATGGAACAACTTGTAAACTATTATTTTACTTATAAGAGACGTTTTCCAATATTTGTGTTTTTCTAAAAAACATATGTGTATACGACAAGTCTTAGTTGTAGAATGAAGTTGGAGCTACTAAAATATGAAGATGGAAATGTAAAGGACTTCTAGACGGAATGGAAACAGGCATATTGGAATATGTTGCTTTTTATACTCTGTATATGAAATGTACAAGAGTATATTAGCATGCGCAAGCTGAAAAATGTAACAGGCAGAAGGAGGCGTGGCAAACCCCACAAAGTATACATATATATTCTTGATCAGCATAACAAGACGAGTCAATCTAGTATTGTAGCCTGGATCTCAAAGACTATAAGAGCTAGAGGCACCAAATTTTGTACAAAGATGCCCTATGTCGTTTATTTTTTGATTCCCCCCTTCCACTTCCACCCTATGGGGGATTTTCCGATTTACCGTTCGTATAATCACCTATGTCTCGGCGACTACAAAACCAAGGGACATCAAATTTGATTCAAAGGTACTTTAGATGAATGCGGAAAACGTTGTATTTTGGAATTTCCTTCCCTGCCCCGAAATTACTGATTGTCTATAACGCCCGCAATTCTTGAAATTTTTTATTCAAATTTGACAAATACTTCCAGTTAGTGATTATGTGTCCAAGTTTCATAATGACAGGAAGTTATATGTATGTATATGTAATCTCTGCCTCAGCTCTGCGCGCAACTATTGTTGTTGCTGCCTTTGCAGACACATATAGACAAGCAAAGACCCACGTAGACACAATTCCTATGTCAATGTGCGGTTATACACGCTTTACATGTGTTACATGGAGATAAAAGCGATCAACAATTTATTTCTTTCTTTTTGTATAATTTTCGTAATTTTTGCATTTCTATAATTGTTCTACACATATGTACAGAGTATTTTATAGTCGGGACACCCGACATTAGCTTTTCTACTGTTTTTTTAATGCTATTTCAACAGCTCTAAAGACACAAAATCATCGCAACCTATGCTTATTACCATGTTAGCATAGCCTCTGGCTTTATCAGCGTCATGCAACGCGTTCTTGCCGCAAAGAGGCACACGCGCAGAGAAAAAAGTTTGGAACGCCATTAACAACCTTTGCAGATTAACTGTGACGTCGATGTTCGCTTCTCTATTATTGTTTCAGCCTTAGCTTTTGTTCGCCTTAAAACGTCATTGCCAACAACACCTTCAACCCCAATAACAACACAGACGATAAGGAACGAGTGGCAAATGACGACACCCATTTTCGTGCATTTTTATTCGCTCCCTACCTATATTTCTACAATGTGACGCCACGAATGCCAAGCTGTGCAGCCTTCTTTCAGGCGGCTCAGCAACATTCTCTCTTAGCTTTGTTGGTGAAACATATGTACGTTTCACCAACACTGAGGTTAAAGCGCTGCAAAGCAGCCGAGCTGCGTCTCCATAGGAAGTCTCACTCGCACGTGGTAGTCTCGCTCGCACCAACGTTCGCGCGCCTCGTTAGCAACAACGTTTTTTCGCCACCTTCCAGCTGCCTCCATATGAAATTTTTTCCACAGCCAACTAACAATGATATGGAGCGGAGTACGTTGTACTAGTGAAGCTGGGTTATGTTGAATGGGTTTATGTTGTTAATGTTGTTCGCTGTCGCCGGCATTCAATGTTTACATTTTTCTTTGATGAAGTGGAAATAAGGATAGGGTGGCAGCATTGACTACATGTGTAAGGGGTGGGTGGTGCTTGTATTGGCCGAATTCTTTGATCCGAATTAAAACAAGAAAATTGTGGGATAATAGTTACGAAAATAAATAATCTGTTCAAAAACAATTTTTGCAATCCAACTAAGTATATATTTGAACAAATTGTCTATATTTGATATAAGTTGAGGGCAATGGACTTGCCATAGGTCATCGATTGCGTTAGATGCGGAATAATCGATGTGGTTTCTTTTACAGGTTTACTATGCAAAAAAGAAACGTCGAGCCCAACAGACACAGGGCGATGAAGATTCGTCAAATAAGAAGGAACGCAAACTGTATAACGATGGCTATGATGATGATAATCACGATTATATTATAAAGAATGGCGAAAAGTTTTTGGATCGCTATGAAATTGATTCGTTAATCGGTATGTATACTGGAGGATAATATGTATGAAGGAATTCTGAATGTATATTTTCACAGGAAAAGGCAGCTTCGGCCAAGTGGTCAAGGCCTACGACCATGAAGAGCAATGCCATGTAGCGATCAAAATAATTAAAAATAAGAAACCGTTCCTAAATCAGGCACAAATTGAAGTGAAACTCCTGGAGATGATGAACCGTGCAGATGCTGAGAACAAGTACTATATCGGTAAGCATCCATAGCAATTCCATCATATTTTATACAATTATTGTACCAGACCACCTCTTTAGTCAAGCTCAAGCGTCATTTTATGTGGCGTAACCATCTATGTCTCGTGTTTGAGTTGCTATCGTACAACCTATACGATTTGTTGCGCAACACAAACTTCCGTGGCGTGTCGCTGAACCTCACTCGCAAGTTCGCACAGCAGCTGTGTACAGCGCTGCTCTTTTTAAGCACACCCGAACTGAATATTATACACTGTGATTTGAAACCCGAGAACATCTTGCTCTGTAATCCGAAACGTTCAGCTATTAAGATCGTAGACTTTGGTAGTTCGTGTCAACTGGGTCAGCGAGTAAGTATCTCAATTAAAATGTTTTTAGGCCTCGGCATTAAAAACTCAATCCCTTTCTTCTTTTTCAGATCTACCAGTACATACAGTCACGTTTCTACAGATCTCCAGAGGTGCTGTTGGGCATACAGTACGATCTGGCCATTGATATGTGGTCACTTGGCTGCATCCTTGTCGAAATGCACACAGGTGAGCCGCTTTTTTCTGGATGCAACGAAGTCGATCAGATGAATAAAATCGTCGAGGTGCTGGGAATGCCACCCAAGTATTTATTGGACCAGGCGCACAAGACGCGCAAGTTCTTCGATAAGATCGTCACGGACGGCACCTACGTCCTGAAGAAGAACCAAAATGGGCGGAAGTACAAGCCGCCGGGCTCTCGAAAGCTGCACGATATTCTTGGCGTAGAAACGGGCGGTCCAGGCGGTCGCCGGCTGGATGAGCCAGGTCACTCAGTGTCCGACTATTTAAAGTTTAAGGATCTTATATTGCGCATGCTAGACTTCGATCCCAAAACGCGTGTCACACCATACTATGCCTTGCAACATAACTTTTTTAAGCGTACCACGGAAGAATCCACCAACACAGGCGGTACAAGCGCCACGGCAAACGCGGGTGCTGGTGGCAGCGGTACAGGCGGAGCCGGTGGAGGTCCCAGCTCAGGCTCGGGTAGCAGCACAGGTGGTGCAGCTGGTTTATTGGCCAGCACGGCGGCTTCCTCCACGCCCAGCAGTGGCAGCGGTGCTATGGGCAGTGGTGTAGGCGTTGGAGCCTCAATGGCACAACAGTCACTACCGCTTGTGGTGAGCAGCGGTGCGGCAGTCGTCGATTCACATGGTAAGTGTCACTTGCATGCAAAACATGCTCCTTTTTGTCCATTTTGTATTATTCCAATTTGTGACATTCTTTCAGTTTTTGACAATTCCTTTATGTTTGTTTTCATTTCACATAGTTTCACAGTTTGTTGTATGTCGAGACAATTCTTATGGCATTCCAAAAGTTTTTCAACTTATTTCTAAATATAAGTAGCTTAAAAATGACCACCGAATCTTATTTTTGATCGATTTTTACCAATTTGTATACATGTCTCGTTTATTCGGCAAACGCCATTAATTAAATTTAATAAGCCCATGATCTCATAGGCTTAACAAAACAAGTAGAGAAGCTAAAGTCGGGTGTCCCGACTTTGAAATACTCTGTACATATGTGTAGAATAATTATGCGTGTATGTGTGTGTATGTCTCGTCTGCGGGTACTGCTTGGTCATACATACATATATGGCACGTATATAACTTGTTAAATCGGCATATCATGCTGAAACTTAGCATACAGACTCATAATAATAACTGGGGGTATTTTCCGAATTTCAATGAAAAATTCCAAGAAATACGGGAGTTATGGAAAATCACTAATTACGGGGGAGAGGAGGGAGGGAGGGAAACTCCAAAGTACACATTTTCTGCGTATACACATAAGGCATCTGGGACTAAACTTTGGTGCCCCTAGCTTTTTGCAAAATTTGGTGTCTCTAGCTCTTTTAGCCTCTGAGATCCAAGTGCTTATACGGATAGACAGACAAACAGACGTACAGACAGGGCTAGATCGACTCGTCTTGTCATGCTGATCAAGAAAATATATACTTTGTGGGGTCTACCACGCCTCGTTCTGTCTGTTACATTTTTCGGCTCGCGCAAACCTAATATACTCCTGAACATTTCATGTACAGAGTATAAAAATGCTATTGGTACATAGTATAGATGAACGAATATCTATTAAGTTTTGTCATTTCTCTTTTTGAATTATTTCGGTCATTATTTTATTTACATAAATAATTATCCTGCCGAGCATAAGCTGACCATTTTCCACAAGGTAATGAGAATGAATGTCAAACGGTCATTTACTATTCCTGGAAAATCACCTGCGAGGTCTAGTAAGATCGTCAAGTGAGGATTTTTGTTGTTGATGTAGGTTCGTGCGGAACATTTTCTAAATAAATAAATCATATGAAGAGGTGAGAAGATACATACATACATGTATATTGACAGAGGAAAGTTCTATATTTTTGTTACTCATATATTTTACTCATTCTATGTTCCGCTGGTGATCCCAGGGTGTGCAAAGTAATGGAAATATTTTTATGGAACACAAAAATTGGTAAAATGTTTCGGGAACACCCAAGTAGTCAAATTGGTGTACTACAGGAATAGTTGAAACAGTAAAGTTAAATGTAGTTGAATGACTTTTTCGGGGAGGAAGTGCGGTTATTGAGGATTTAAGCGTTAAACTTATGTGCTTTTAATGTTCCCTGCTCTTCTTCAAACATTTCCGATTGTATGTGCGACTTAAGCTTACCTGTTCAGTATCAGTCCTCTCTGTTTTTTGTAGTACTTTTTTCATTTTCCCTCATTCTTTTCTTAAGAGCGATCAACCTTTAAAAATATTAGCTTTTTAGGGGATGAATATTAAGAAAACATTGTATTATGGCTTTGGCGCTTGTGCATAAAATGGTCGATTTGTGTTTAAGTAAATATATTAACTAGGTAATTATGTTATATTGATCGTCGCAATTGCGATGAAAACAAAACTGCAAATAAATATTGTATCAAAACTAGTTTATTCTTTTACCCTTTACGTACGTGGTATAAAAACAATAATAATACCTAAATTACTAGACATTTGTATCTAATTGAGTTTATTAAATTCTAAGTATAGTCTGTTTATGTTTTCCTTTTTGTTTTGTAGTGCTTTCTTAATTGCAATTGTTAAACAAAAAATACAAAAAATAATTAAATTATTTATTATACCTCTAGATAATTAAGCGCAACTAATTTAACTAACTCTTACAAATATAATATGCTCTCTTTTTCTATTTTCTAAACATATATACAAACATAAATATACTCACACAAAACATTGAAAAAAACCAATCCTGCAAACCCTGCAGATGAACGCCGATGACCGCGCGAACATTTATCGGCTTCAACTTCCGCCTCTACTGCAACGACTAATTAGGCACACTCAGGACTACATCAACAAAAACATAAACAGCAGCAGCAGCAATCTTCAGTTAAACAAATGGCCACAGTAACAGTCATAACAGCAGCAACCGCACAAAAAATTACAACGCGCTCTTTTGAGACCCGGGAGACTGCTTTTTGTAACATACTTTTGAGAGCACCAAGTGTTTTGAAATACAGCCAACTTCGTCGTATATATACATTTATGAGAGTACAGTTTGTGTTTAATATGGCTTTTTGACAATTTAGGCTGTGGCAACAATTGCTAAGCAACAGTCTGTCATATGTAAATTGCCAGAGGCTTGCCGCATCTTTCTCCTAACGTGTGGTTTTTCTTTTACATAGAATATAAATAAACTGTACTCGCGCATTTTGTTGTCCACACTCTTAACTGATACATCATGCATTGCATCTTCAAAATATTTTTTCTCTAATTTGTAAATAAATACTACCTTTAAGCACCTACAATATAAGCTTATAGGGCAATAGCATAGTACGATTTAAAAAAAATGTTAAAAAGGAGGGAAACATGCAACAAAAAAACGAAAAAAGCCCTAACGACTTTCTTAATGACTGCCATTCATACATGTATGTATTTATTATATATAAGATACATTAAAACCTACAATTGCAAGGTACACAAAAATCAATAATATATATGTATGTACATATATACATATAATGTTTGTCATGAAAGTGTTTTTACATGTCTGGTCTCTCAAATTTATGTAAAGGACGCATATATTTTATTTGCTCAATCTTTTTATTCATAACTACATAGAGAAGTGTTGTAGACATTTGATTCAGAGAGGGCGGGGGCTAAATATTTCACGACGTATTTGGTAATAAAATAAACAATGAAATGAACACTTTCTTCACAGGCTAATTTAAGACTACCTTATGTTGTTTTTTTTTTTTGTTCCCCTCTTCATAGTAAAAATACCAAAATTCAAACATAACATTAAAGGAAAACATAAATTAAACGAGGCGTGCTTTACATATATATTATTAGGGGACAACGCTAGAAAATGGATTTATTTTCACTCTTGTGGAATCACTGTATATACATACATTCATACATATTCAAATAAAAACGCAGCATTGCCAATTGCAATATAATTTAATATACAAAAATGATCATACATACAAACAGAAAATGAAAAAACATCAATCGTAAGATAGGATGTATTCGTGTTCATGCAAACATAACAAAAACACGTAAGAAAAAAACGGGCGATTGAGATCGATCGAACATAAGCATCAATTTCAGTATTTTTCCAGCATATTGTGCTTCTACAACTTGTGCAGCCGATACAACGAATTAAGTTGAAATGTATTTCTTCGTTAAGTTTTGAACAATTCATGTGTATCTATTTTCGAAGAATCTCTATTCTATGAATATTAATAATAATAAATTAAATGTAATGATATTTTGTGTTTCCACAATTTTCTGGAGTTATAATGAAATGATAAGCAATAGTTGTAACTGTTTCCCGCTAGTGTATATGTATGTACATCCTATGTATAAATACACACACATACCTTTGCATACATTTCGCATTCAAGAGCAGTTTAATAATGTATACAAGCCCTAACAATTAACAATTACATTGAATAGCTTTTAATTATGTATAGGTGATGGCTGCACATACAAGTTTTTACATATTTTATTATCGTCAAGAAATCATATCAAAAATACTTATAGACACAAAAAGAGCGGGTACAGAGCCCGCTCGACCCTAGCATTCCAATCATGTTTTTATTTTCAAAGCTGTCTGTCTGCCTGCCCGTATGAACACCTAGCTTTAAGAGACTAAAACCTACAAACACCAAATTTTTTACGCAGATGCCTTATATGTGTGATTTTCCATAACTGCCGTAATTCTTGGAATTTGGCAAATACCTCTAGTTAGTGATTATGGGTCCGTATGTTACATCATGATAGGGCGTTTTTAATTAAAGCTATACCCATAAATGTAGTCTCTACTCAAGCTCTGCCCGAAGATGTTACCCACAATTCCGATGGAAATATTCAGACATACATCCTTCACGTGAATTCTAATCTCAATGAAAGTATAATCGATGCAAATTTTGTTTGTAATTTTAGATTTTTGTAAAAAAAATTTTATGTACAGTCATTACCAAGACATAAAGATAAGCTTTTGAATGTAGCGCAGTCGGAAAAAGCTCGCTGTACGAATTATCACAGCTTGTATATGGAAACGAAATGGTTCAATTGCAAGTTTGTACTTCTTTTTTTAGTATCGTTAAAGAGGAACATAATCGTTTTAAATTCCTTCGCTTTAAATTTTTCGTAAAAATTAAGACTCCGCAGAGGATGTGCCTTGGATATAAATAATTTCATATCGACAAACCTTTAAAAAAGAAAACATAGGACACAATAAAGTTTGTTCTGTAAAATATTGGACAGAAGACGATTTCGGAATGAGTCCAAAGGTTTCGATAAATGTATATTTGAAGAACAAGACAAGAGTTCCTAAATCTCGTTTCCTTGACTTATGACTAAAACCAATTCAAATGCTATGTAAAACACTGTCAAAACGTAAAAAAAAAACAGTAACCACATCTAACGTAGTGTATTCAGCTGACTATTTCATTCACCCCAGTTCTTCTATTTTTCACATGAAAGGTGTACAAGCCGTTTTAGCATTCAGTGTTACAAACAACGAACTCTCCATAAGAAGTCGCTGCAAAGAACCCTTTTATGTTAAAAGATTCAACATCAATTTATCTATTTTCATAGAACAAGTACACAAATAATGTTATATTTCCAGCTATTGGATCACCCGCCCTTTCTCAAAAATGTAGTTTTATCTTAATTGCAGTTTGATGAATAGATGACAGTGAGCTATACTATAAAGGGTGTTAGTGTACCCATTTTTTAATTCCTTGTATCGCGTTGCCGTTTTCATATAAACATGTACATTGACATAGACATTCCCTCATACGCGTATGTGCTATACGTATTAAACCGAAAAAGAGCACTACGGGGAATTGTATTAATTATTCATAATAAATACAAAGAAATGTTACATATATATAAACATATATATAGTATAAAGCATAAAAGAATGATAACACACAACTGAAGTGCAGACGGCACCATATCGCCGACTGTTAAATAACAAATGAACAGTCGTTGGCGTTGCTTATATACATATGTATGTATATGGTCAAAATAAAATTTACACGTTAATGATTTTCTTTGAAGTCTAGAAAACCTTTTTAATAATCATGTGGTTACTTCAAAGCAGTCGCTTCAAAAATCTATAAAATATTAACAGAATTAACCTTCAAAAAAAACCTATAAGAAATAAAGGAAAAATTAAATAGCTGATGTCAAAATAATAAGTACAGTTTTTTTGACAAAACGAATTGAATTGTTTTAGCTAGTTCAGTATTTTGTATATTTTTGGTACCTTTTGCATAATAAAAATAAGTTTGTGGCTTGGCTCGATCAAAAATGCATACCATGTTTAAGGTACAACTTTCCACAATTGGTCAGCACTTCGAAACGTTTTTGTACAACTTTGACGCTTTAACATATACTGTACTGAAGTGTTGTCAAAGAATCAGAGTTATTCGATGTACCATGGCCGGTATTCCATGCCTCTGGGGTGCTTAAAATGTCGTCCATTTAATTGAAAAAGCTTTTGACAATTAAGGAATATGATTTAGCTACATGTGTATGTGTACTGACGATGTCGCTTATCAGATGTTTGTTATGACTTCTTCGGTTGCACCTGGCATTGAGGAAGTAATTGTGATTTTTAGGCATTCTGCACAAACCGTGCGTTACCAAGTATGAGCAATTTCTAATCTTATCTTATACAAGTATATCTTCTACATTACAATGCCCTTTTACTTATTTATGCAAGCAATCAACAAATAGGAACAAACCTTTAACATAATTGTGATATAATCCTTGAACATCAGCATAAACATCAAAGTTCTTATTTTGACCAGCAAAAAAATGCACATCAGCACATATATTATTCAAATGTACCATTGAATCAAGGGGATTCCTCGCTTTAATATTGCAACCGTGAAAAATATTTCACGATATTGCATTGAAATGCGTACGATGTTCTTATTATTTTGTCCATATACGTATGTATATATATGCATAAATATATATAAATTAATTTACATGATATAAATATATATACAATAAACCCAAATACAAAACTAGTTCTAAAGAAAACATTGTAAAAATAGTAAAAAAAAAAAAATTAAATTATAATAGTAAAAACGAGAGAAATGCATAAATCGTTTACTGTTCAAGAAAAGCTTCATATTATAACTAATACTGATGAAACTTTGAGCATGCAATTTGTACTAAGCATCTCACAAGCATACTTACAATACATACGTATTTCAATATATGCTACATATGATAAAAAAAAACACACATTCTAATTTAAAAAAGGGGTGGCGTGGGGAGGGAGGGGGCAGGGGGAACATAAAAAATGAAGACAAAGAGCTAGTATGGAAATTCCGACAACAAACGCCGATCCGTAATACATTTTAAAACGTACAGCATACATACACTGGTCGGCACAATTATTTTGACGAGAAGAAAATTATACATTTTTGTCAATAACTGGTTATTGGTTTAAGATACCAAAGGAAACTTTGTTTTCTCAAATACATATTGGTATTAAGAACTTAAAAATAATTCAAAGGAGATATTTTTATAAAAGCTTCTAAAATTATAAATCAAGCTAAGTTTCATGGGTTTGCATAAGTATTTTGACAATGGATATTAACAATACTAAACAAAACATAAGAAATTGATGATAGATTAATAAAATGTATACCCTCCTTTGGCTTCGATAACTTTTTGAAGACGTCTTGGAACTGAGTCCACTAAATTTTGAAGGACCTCGAATGTGAAGTGAAGTGAAGAAGTGACCTCGGAAATAGTCTCTTCTTCGGTTTTATGCAAAGACACATTTCTTTTACGTTTTACAAGAGACCACACATTCTCAACAACATTTAACCGGACTTTGGGGTGGCCAATCCAGAGTAGTAACGCCAACATTGTTTAAAAATGCTGTTATCTTTGTGGCATGGGGCGTTATCCTGTTGCAGGATATATGACTCTCTAATCAGCCTGTCACCGGAAGGGAAAGCGTTTTCGTTAAGGGTACTCAAATATTGTTGCTGGTCCATTGAGCCGGTGATGGGAACGAAATTACCTAACCCATTGTACGCAATGCATCCCCAGAACATGACTGAGCCTCCGCCATGGCTCACTTTTTGATATACGGGGATATTTTTTTGTCTTTGAAACTGCGGGAGCGTTACAAAAATCGTTGTTTTTGGTGAATTGTATTCAAAAAAACTTTCATCTGCCCATAGAACGCTTCTCCAAAACTCTTTTGGCTTATGCAGATGCTCCTTTGCAAAAGCCAATCTTTTGAGCTTGTTCACCTTTGATATGTAAAGTATGTCCTTCGCTTTGTATGCCTTAAAATCTTCTTCTTTTAGGCGTCGCCAAACAGGAGGCTCACTGATTGGAGTCTTAGTCGACTTATTCCATTGATCTGCAGCAGCTTGCGGCTTTAAATGAATATTTTTTTTAAATTCCCGCAAAAGGACTCGGTCTTCAATGGGTGTTGTTTTGCGGTTCGCACCTGATCTAGGCAAGTTGTTGACGTCATTGTGGGTCTTATATTTGCTAATATGATAGTAGACAGTTTGCCGTGAGAAATTATATTCATTTGCAATGTCTTTTGGTTTTACGCCGGCATTAAACTTCGCCACTTTTGAGGCTCTAACAACATAATTTAATTCTGCTGTTTTTCCCATTGTATTTATAACTTTTCAATCAAATTTGAATGAATTTAATGTTAAAAGGTCAGCAAAAATGGTTACAGCAAAGTTATTTTAGTATCACTTGACAAAGCGAGCGCGAAAACGGCGACAAAGATTTTATCAAAATACTTATGACGTACCTGAATCTGCAGTCTGCTCACATTATCAATTGTAGAAAGAAGGTGTGAAGAGTAATAGAGAACATGTTTCGCCTACATATTGTTGTTGCTATGAACTCTATATCCCGCATAAAAATTGTACCGTTATTCCTTTAAACTAGAAGCAACAAGCACCGACAGTCGTGAGTACGGTTATTCAACATAATTGTGCCGACCAGTGTAGGTCTGTACACATAGTATTGCAAGAGAACAAGTACACATAGATAGAAGAGGCGCCTTGGGATATGCAATAAGTTTACATACTTTCAGTCCATATCTCGTTTTGTTGTTAAATCCGGTTAATCC